TGTAATTGGCCTAAAATGAAAGTCAAAGTCGGCAAAATCGCCAATTCATAAATATCGCTGACACATCAAAATTCACGAGAGCATAATTTCATCAGTTTTCCATCAAATTTCGTACTTTTTGTTTTATTACCTTCACAAAAAGATTCTCTACCATTTCATAAGAAAAAATAACAAATTTTTTTTTTGGAAAATTCTTGGACACTGGGGCACCACTTCAGATTTTGGCCTTGGACCCTGAAGGGGTTAATAAAGTGTATTCTAACCTAACCACTTTAATCCGGCACACTACAGGTCCCAATGATACTGGATTAGTGATGGCTGACCTGTACAAGGTATGATATAGCACGTAATGAAAGTAGTTTGTTAGATTATGTATTGGTGGATAAAAGGTTGATGGGTAGGCTTCAGGATGTACATGTTTATAGAGGGGCAATGGATATATCGGATCATCATTACTTACTTGTAGCTACAGTTAGAGTAAGAGGTAGATGGGACAAAAGGAAAATGGCAACAGCAAGGTAAGAGAGAGGTGAAAGTGTGTAAACTAAGGGAGGAGGAAATTAGGGTGAGATAAAAGCAACTATTGGCAGGAAGGTATGAGTAGTGGGGGGTTGAAAATTGTTGGGAGAGTTTTAAAAATGCTGTATTAGAATGTGGGGCAGAAGTTTGTGGCTATAGGAGGGTGGGTGCAGGAGAAAGGGGAGTGATAGGTGGAATGATGAAGTACAGGGTGTAATAAAAGAGAAAAGGGTAGCTTATGAGAGGCTTTTACAAAGCAGAAGTGTTGTAAGAAGAGCAGAGTACAGTATATGGAGAGTAAAAGAAAGGTGAAGAGAGTGGTGAGAGAGTGCAAAAGGAGAGCAGATAGATAGTTGAAATAAATTTATGGTTTCTTGTACTCGGTCAATAGAAAGAAAGGAGTTCTAACAAAATAACTATGAGTTTGGTCAGCTGGAACAGTGGAATTGGCCCAAAATATAGCTCAAAGTGGGCAAAATCACCAGTGTGTAAATATCGCCAAGACCGCTAAATTTGTGATAGCGTAATTCCATAAGTTTCTTTCAAATTTCGTACTATTGGTTTCATTACCTTCGGAAAAAGGTTATCATTTCGCGAGTTTTCTTTTCTTTTTCTTTTTTTTTTTTCTTTTCTTTTAATCATCTTTGGAGCATTGTCAGTTGACAACCAAGAGCACATACGAAAACCAAGAATCAGAGAGTTCTGATTCTGGCGTTTCTTTAAAATTTGCCTCAAATGGGGCAAGACATTGTCATTGTACATGTTGCCTACATGGCTTACAACAGCTTTGTCAGGGTGATGTTCCTCCATAAATGTTGGCACCTCACCCCACTTTGCACAAATGTCCTTAAAGTTTGAAGAAGGCACCTTCTTCCATCTGTCTTCCTCCTCCTCCGAGGCAGTTTCCTGAGCTGTGCTTTGTTGCTGTTGCAAATGAAGGTCTTGCAGCTCTTCATTGGTTAGCTCTTGACTGTGGTCCTCCACCAACTCTTCCACATCCTGGCCAGTCACATCCAACCCCATGGAATTCCCCAATGCCACAATAGATTGCACAACTGGCATAGGGTTGTCAGGGTCAGCCTCAAATCCTCTATAATCTTCGTTGAGGACACAATCTGGCCACAATTTTCTACAAGCAGAGTTCATCGTCCTGGAAGTCACTCCCTGCCAAGCCTTATCCATAAGGCCTATGCAATCGAGGATATTGAAGTGATCTTTCCAGAACTCTCTTAGGGTCAATTGAGTGTCTGAGGTCACATCAAAGCACCTTCGAAACATTGCTTTGGTGTACAGTTGTTTGAAGTTTGAAATGATCTGCTGGTCCATGGGCTGGATGAGTGGTATTAGGGGGCAAGAACTTCTGTGATGAAACTAAACTCGTCCACCATTTGGTCATCCAAGTCTGGAGGTTGAGCAGGAACATTGTCCATTACCAGGAGGCACTTGAGTGGCAATATATTTTCCAGGAGGTATTCCTTCACACACTGGCCAAACACTTCATTGAACCAATCAAGGAAAATTTCCCTTGTGACCCATGCCTTACTGTTAGCCTTCCACATCACACGCAATTTACTCTTGGCAACACTGTGTTTCTTGAACACTCTGGGATTTTCAGTGATACACCAGTAAAGGCTTCACTTTGAAATCCTCACTAGCATTACCACAGAACATGAGAGTTAGCCTGTCTTTCATAGGCTTGTGTCCTGGGAGTGCCATTTCCTCCTGCGTGATGTAGGTTCTCTTTGGCATTTTCTTCCAATAGAGGCCTGTTTTGTCACAATTGAACACTTGTTGGGGGACGAATCCTTCAGCCTCTACATAGTTCTTGAATTCCCGCACAGATTTTTCAGCCGCATATTTGTCAGAACTGGCAGCCTTGCCATGCCTTACCAAACTGTGTATGCCACTACGCCTCTTAAATCTCTCAAACCAGCCTTTGGTGGCCTTAAATTCACTAACATCAGCACTCGTTCCAGGCATTATCTTTACAAGATTGGTATGCAACTGCTTTGCCTTTTCACAAATTATCTGCTGCATAACACTATCTCCTGCTAATTGTTTTTGGTTGATCCACACTAACAACAAATTCTCAATATCTTTGAGTATTTGCGATCTCTTTTTGGTGAGCATATCTACCTCTTTCGCAACAACAGCATCCTTTTTTCCTTTTTCTTAGACACGATGGAAGTGATCGTTGAGTGGGGTTTTTCCATACATCCTGCTGAGCTCGGCCACATGCACTCCGCTTTCATATTTTGCAATTTCTTTCTTTCTTTAACCCCTTGACTGTCGCAACCCCAAATTTAATGTCAACCCATTCATGACTGCATATTAGAATGGCTACTTGGACATTTATTGGAAAATGACATCATTTGTTTACTTTTGAACATTGACAAAAAACAAACATTTCCCCTACTTTGAGCTCCATTTCAAGGTTCTTTTCATAGTAAAACCAATCAAAATCACCTCTATTTCTATAATATGTTTTCCATTCTATCAAATAAAGCCAAGAAAACGAGAATGCAACCATAAATACTATACAAAAATAAACCACAAAGTCGGCATTTTAATTAAAAAAATGGTCGAGTTTTTTTCTGTCATTATACACTGCGTGCTGCAGGATTTTTTTTATATGGTGCACACTGACCACACAGACCCATTCTCTCACATGTGGGCCTACCAGCTTTCTCCTGCTTGATTTGAAGCCGCTAGAATTTGAGTATACTATATACATCAAAAACGGTGGCTCGTAAGACGTATATATACGATCAAAACAGTCAAAGGGTTAATTATATGTTTCTCACCTTCTTTATCAATGGGCTGGCACTAGAATCTTTCTTTGGGCCCATGGTGGGTTATTTAGCAGTTTCAAGCACCAAATACATTGGATTATTTTGAAATGTATTGTATGAAAGTGTGGAGTGAAGGCTACTCGCGCAGAAACATTGCCACACTGACGTTCTCTATGTTGGGTGGGAGCCTTTGTATACGCCTGGCCGCTCCCCGCCGCATGGACATGTTCCATGCAACAGGCAATTGTGAGGTAAATCAAGAACCGCGAGGCTTTATTTTGACGAAAAAAGTTGCCGAAAGTCGAAATTCACGAAGCGCGAGGCTCACGAAACTTGGGGGTCCATTGTATGCAAGGCTTTATAGATATTTGAACTGTTTTCAGCACTGTATGAGGGCCTGGCAGAGGTTCGGTGTTGGCTGGTCAGGTTTTATATGCCTATTATCCTATAAATTTTTCTCATGCTCTGGCATGTTCAAAGTAAATTCAAGCAATATTTAAAGAAAAAGCTGTCAATTAAAAAATAAAGTAGAATTGAACTTCAATATTAATTGGGAAATAATATAATTGAAATATTATTCCATATATAATGTCAGTTACACAAATAACCCGCCGTCTAGTTGAATAACAGTCGCCGTCTAGTTGAATCCTCTCTAATACACAACTTTTGTTGTATGAACCTTAGCCCTGGCTTCGTCTCTGTAGATGCCTTCCTCTCCCACTACATTATAAAATGCTCCAAACTTCAGAACACTCGTGACTTAACCTGACTCCTCATTTTTTCTTTTTCTTTTTCTTCTCCCTCTTCCCCTTTCCTCTTTCCTTTTCTCCTCTGGGTTGTCTTTCTCTCTTCTGTCTCGTGTTTCTGTTCCTTCTTCATTTATTTCACCACTTCCCCTTTCACGCACCTCTGTGCGCTTGCTCTCCCTCAGTGGGCACCTAGCTCTCTTGCAGTGCTCCCGTTCCTTTGTATTTGACTGGCTCGTCCTCCTTATTTCCCACTTCTACCACTACCACTACTACTACCTCTTTTATACTACTACTACTACAACTACTGATGAAATTAAGACACATGTGCGTCGTCTGGTTGTTTTTGTTGAGGACGTTTCGCCATCCAGTGGCTGGCTGGATGGCGAAATGTTTATGATAGGGATGCCCGGATGTTGCGCATGTGTCTTAATTTCATCTTGTCGGTATTATATACCATTCTTGTACTACTACTACTACCACCACCTCTTCCTGCCTATATATAGCCGTCCTGCTCCACTTCTGGTTAGTGTGACTTTGTCAATGGTCCAAGTCAGACCGAAACGTCGTCGTATGCTTCTCTCTTTTATGTGCGGGTTATTTGTGTATCGTTCCAGTCACGGTATTGTACCTTTTTTGTTATTTATAATGTCAGTTTTTTTCCCCTACCTTGGTGGGATACAGCCAATGTGTTAAAACAGACAAGTGCTGTATTATTATTGCAATATTATTGTGCATAAAATAACTTGACAAATTTCAGACTAGTGAGGGACAGTATCTTTAACCCTGCCTCATCTTCCCTGGTGTTTTTTCCCTCCCTTTATCCCTCCTTATTTGAGTTAATAAACAAAACTAAAATTTATATACACATGTTTCTTCATGGATTTATATATTAACTATTTAAAAATGTTCCACCCAAAGTGAATGTAATAATGACTTACAGGCTGCTGGTCTTCGTCAGCAGCTGGAGCGACTACCACGACGTGGAGGAGCTAGTAGTAGTGGAGGCGTTGGTAGTGGAGGAAGTGGCAGTGGAGGCAATAGTGGTGGTGGGGGAGGAGGAAGCAGTGGTGGGGGTGGGGGTGGTGGAAGCAGCAGTGGCAGTCACAGCGGTGTAATGGTGAATATTGGGTCTAGCAGTACGGCAAATGTTGTAACAACTCACCACCAGCCCCCTCCACTACTCGTTCATGCAGGATCACATTCACAACCTCAGTCACAATATCTCTTGGCAAGGTAAGTCTACTCTTCACAGAATTTACCTATCTAACCTTTGTACAAGAAAAATAAATTTTCCATTGTGTGTTGATGTGTAATGGTTGCATGAAGGAAAAAATACACTATATGTTTATTGTGTGGGTGGCAAGCACAAGATGGGGGTAGGAAAAGCTCTTCAAAACTCATTGAAAGCATTTTATGTGTATGAGGATAAGTAGGTACAGGATGAATGGACTTGTCACATTCATTTCCACCTGACTTATCTCGTTACTCTCTAGCGTACAATGTGTCTCTCATCTCGAGCATCTGGGTTGTAGTCTCATGGGTGCATGTTTGAGAAGGGAAGCCTGGTGAGTTCTGCTCTGCCCGTCGGTGGCTGAAAATGGTGTGAATCTTCCTCAGAATGATCCATTGATTTGTGACATATTGGCCTTGGTACATACTGGCTCACTCCTCGATCCTTCATTGTCTGAAGGCTCCTGCTGAGTGCGGACTTCAGGTGGGTCCGCAGATGAGACGCTTGCTCTGGCTACCTCTCAGACAGTCGCCTTCCTCTCCCCCTTCTTCTCTCTCCCCCCCTCTCCTCTCTACCTCCTCCTCTCTCTCTCTCTCTCACACCCTCTCTCCCTCTCTCTCTCCCCTTCTCTCTCTCTCCTCCCTTCCTCTCTCTCTCTCCCTTCTCTCTCTCTCTCCCCTTCTCTCTCTCTCTCTCTCCCTCTCTCTCCTCTCTCTCCCCTTCTCTCTCTCTCTCCCCTTCTCTCTCCTCCCTTCTCTCTCTCCCTTCTCTCTCTCTCTCCCCTCTCTCTCTCTCCTCCCTCTTCTCTCCTCTCTCTCCCCCCTTCTCTCTCTCCTCCTCTCTCCCTTCTCTCTCCTCCCTCTCTCCCTTCTCTCTCTCCTTCTCTCTCTCCCCTTTTCTCTCTCTCCCCTTTTTCTCTCTCCCCTTTTCTCTCTCCCCTTTTCTCTCTCTCCCCTTTTCTCTCTTCCCCTTTTCTCCCCTTTTCTCTCTCCCCTTTTCTCTTCCTTTCTCTCCCCACTTTTCTCTCCCCCTTTTCTCTCCCCCCTTTTCTCTCTCCCCCCTTTTCTCTCCCCCCTTTTCTCTCCCTCTTTTCTCCCCCCTTCTCCTCTCTCCCCCCTTTCTCTCTCTCCCCCTTTCTCCCCCCTTCTCTCTCTCTCCCCCCTTCTCTCTCTCTCCCCCCTTCTCTCTCTCTCTCCCCTTCTCTCCTCTCTCCCCTTCTCTCTCTCTCTCCCCTTCTCTCTCTTCTCTCCCCTTCTCTCTCTCTCTCCCCTTCTCTCTCTCTCCCCCCCCCTTCCTCTCTCTCTCTCTCCCTTCTCTCTCTCTCCTCCCCTTCTCTCTCTCTCTCCCCTTCTCTCTCTCTCTCCCCTTCTCTCTCTCTCCCCCTTCTCTCTCTCTCTCTCCCTTCTCTCTCTCTCCTTCTCTCTCCTCTCCCCTCTCTCTCTCTCTCCCCTTCTCTCTCTCTCCCCTTTCTCTCTCTCCCCGTTCTATCTTCCCTTCTCTCTCTCTCTCCCGTTCTGTCTTCCCTTCTCTCTCTCTCTCCCCTCTATCCCCCTCTCCCCCTCCCCCTTCCCCTCTCTCTCTCTTCCCCCCTCTCTCTCTCTTCCCCCCCTCTCTCTCTTCTTCCCCCTCTCTCTCTCTCTTCCCCTCTCTCTCTCTCTTCCCCTCTCTCTCTTTCCCTCTCTTTTTTTTTTTTTTTTTTTTTTTTTTTTTTTTTTTTTTTTTTTTACACAGGGTTTGACAAGGTTAAGGATCCCTAGCTTTATTGACAGCTATTTACAGGTTAAGGATTCCTAACTTTATTGGCAAGCTAAGAGCTGTTACCTACGTCAGCTCATTTGAAAGCATTTTTATTGTTATGAGACATACAAGTAGGGAACAGGATGAAGTTGGAGCCATCTGTGGGCCAGCATTTTCATTTGATCAACTGACGTTATCTCGTTGACATCATTATGCTGTACGAATGTGTTCCATACTCGAGTCATCCTGGGTATGTATGATCTCAGATGGAGTGATGTTCTGGAGAAGGGTACAGCCAGAGTGAAGTTGCTGCTTTCTGCCCTTTCTTGTGGCATAAAAGCTTGTTTCACGCTGTCCTCGAAGTGGATCCAAGTGTGGTATTTTGACAATTTTGGGCCTTGTAATAACAGTAAGGCCACCCACACCTCCTATGTTGAAGGCTCTGCTGAAATGACAGATCTATCCAGGATGGGTCCAGGCGAGATGAGACGTCTTGCTCTGTTCTCTACTCTGTCAAGCAGTCGCAGATGAGAGGGGGGCAGGCAAACCAAGAAAGTGGAGCTTTACTCAAGGTGTGAGCGTACTTGTGCCTCGTACAGGATCTTGCAACCCCTACTGTCAAGCAGATGCGAGATACGGCGAAGTGCTGTAAGCTTCCTGGCTGCCTTGTTTGCAAGATTTACAACATGGTTCTTCATGGTTAGTTTTGGGGTCAAATTTCACCCCAAGGATATCAACTTCTTCTCCAGGTGCCAAAATCGTCCCCTTCATCCTTACTACTGCACCAGCATTACCCTCATGGTGCTAGAGACGATCATCATTTGCGTTTTCTAGGTGCAAATGTTACTTGCCATCTATTTCCCCAAGCTGATATAGCTCTCAGCTGGTGATTGATGTAGCTTAGAGCAGCTGGCATTTCTTCTCTTGGATAAGTGAATGTCAGTGTACAGTCGTCTGCATATGCATGTGATTCTGGGATGAGATGAAGAAGGTCGTTGAAGTAGACATTCCATAACAGTGGACCCAGCACACTTCCTTGTGGAACGCTTGCCCCAATAGGATGCCTTGCTGATTCCGTTCCATTGAGGAACTACACTTAGAGATCTACCATGAAGGTAATCACTGAGGAGACATAGCGTAGAGCCTGCAATTCCCAGTGCATTAAGTTTTGCTAAGAGGCCCTGGTGCCACACCCGGTCGAAAGCGCCAGCAATGTCCAGTGCTACCACACAGCTGACTTTGGATTCATCCAGTGACTGGTGCCACTTAGTGGAGAGGTTTAACAACAGATCAGCAGCAGAGTAACCTTTCCTGAAGCCATATTGACGATCACAAAGTAGTGAGTGGTAGTCAAAAAATCTGTCATTTGTCTTGAGATTATTGTCTCAAGGATCTTACCAGTGATTGACAGGAGTGACACTGGTCTGTAGTTGCTGATTTCTGCTCTGCTCTTCTTTTTGTGAACAGGGACTACATTTGCCTCTTTCCATGGAGAGGGCCATTTGCACTGTACTAGGCAGTGCTGAAAGATGCGAGTTAGAGGTGCTGCTAGCTGGTCTGCACATCTTCTCAACAATCTTGGGCTCAACTTGTCTGGGCCCACAGCCTTTTCTTGGTCAAGCAATTTAAGTAGGAAATGCACCTCCTCCTGCCTTATTGTCACCACTGACAGTTTTGACACAGTTCTTGCAGCTAGCCAAGGAGGGTCCCTTGCTGGATCAGGAACTTGCATTTTGGTAGCAAAGTGTTCAGCAAAGAGGTCCGCCTTCTCTTGACTACTAGTAGAGGTGGTCCCATCCTGTCGATTTAGAGGTGGAATAAGTTCATCAGGCAGATAACCTTGTCTGTCCTTGACCAGGGGCCACCAGGTTTTGGAGCCTACCCTACCTGATGCTAACTTTCACTTCCCCTCTCTCTCTCTCTTCCCTCTCTCTTCCCCCCCCCCCCCCCCCCCCCCCCCTCTCTCTCTCTCTCTCTCTCTCTCTCTCTCTCTCTCTCTCTCTCTCTCTCTCTCTCTCTCTCTCTCTCTCTCTCTCTCTCTCTTCCCCCTCTCTCCCCTCTTCCCCCTCTCTCCCCTCTTCCCTCTCCTCCTCCCTCTCTTCCCTCTCTCTCTTGCTCTCCTCCCTTTCTCCCTCTTCCCTCTCTCTCTCTCTCTCTTCTCCTCTCTCTCCCCTCCTCCCATTTAATAATACTTATACAGTGGACCCCCGGTTAACGATATTTTTTCACTCCAGAAGTATGTTCAGGTGCCAGTACTGACCGAATTTGTTCCCATAAGAAATATTGTGAAGTAGATTAGTCCATTTCAGACCCCCAAACATACACGTACAAACGCACTTACATAAATACACTTACATAATTGGTCACATTCGGAGGTAATCATTATGCGGGGGTCCACTGTACTTGTTGACTCTTTACCTAGAATATTGGAGATTACTCTTATATATAGAAATAATTTTTGGTGGTTTTTCATATTTTATTAGTCATTAATCTTAATATTTATTTACTGGAGAATTATGTTTCAGGCTGGGAGACAATGAGAGTGATACAGATGGCAGTAGTGGCAGCAGTGATCGAGCAGGATTTGTTCAAGAACTGTTACTCTCCACTCTTTGTGATCTCAGTCTTAGTCCAGGAGCCTTGGAAGATGGAAATTTATTACCGACATCACTCGCAAACCGAGGTGGTGGTATAGCACATGACACGGACGTGGCCAAAGGTGATAGTGAGAGGGCTATAAAAGTTTTATCATCAGATGCAGCAACTCAGACTTCTTCAAGTACTCATCCTGTATCCAGCACTACTACCACAACTACACAGACCAATTCACAGCACCCAACCATGCCACAGTCTAAGACCCCTAATACCATGAAATCTCTCAAAGGGGCGAAGGGTGTTGTTGTAGGTCGATCTAGTCCAGGAAATCAGCAACAGCAGCAGTCAAATGGAGGAGGGGTGGTATCTCGGCCACTGACAGGGACGGGAACAGTGGCTGTCTCCCCTGTGGGGGGGCCAGGGAGGGGCCGAGCGTCGGGGGGGTCAGTGTCTCCCGGCGCAGCCCGCCGGAAACTGGTTCGCGGAGTAGAAGGTCGTGCTACAGAGCCTCCTCCTCCTCACTAGTACCCACAGAATCTAGTCCAGCACCAGGAGGTCATCCCAATGCCAACGAAACTTGCCCATGCCATCCTTGTCCTTGCCACCCATGTACCTGTCTGTAGAAAGCCAAACCAAGGAGGAAGGAAGTAACCAAGACTTTCTGATAGTTCTTCAGACAGTTTGGCTTTGGTATAAATGTATTAGTCAGAGGATGTGCTTGGAAGACAGTTGTAAATGGTGGTGTGCATGGGAATGTAATGTTGTGTGCCACAGTAAAATGAGATCAAACAGGCAGGCAGGCAGGCAAGCAGGCAGGCAGGCAGGCTAGGCAGAGAAGCATAAAAAAAATGGGGGGACCACTGGTGCCAAGATATGAACTGTACATAGCACATGCTACTGAAGCATGTCATATTGCTGTGTATAAAATATGTTCAGGCCTTCATAATACTGCATAGCTTTACCCTAACCATTCATGAAATCACATTATTGGCATTGTCCTTAGTACTGTTTCCTTTCTTCACCCTTGATAACCAGAATCACTCTTAACTATTTCCTGTATGGTATATATTTCAAATTGATAATAGGTTTGATTTTTCAATGTGTTTTTTCTGATACACATAGAATTTTGAAGATTTTTGCCCAAATAGTGTTTGAAATATTTATAAATTGTATTTTTTGTTGCAAATGATATAACAGTAATTCTTATTATAGAGCTTCACTTTGCTTTGGTAAGATGATATTGAATCACTTACCATGCAGCCTAGCATGAGACACAGTATAGTCAACTATGAGATTTATCTGTATTTTTTTAAGCCTATCAAGAAGCTTTTTCAGATAAAAATGTACTAGATTGGGGAGGGGTGATAGACAATTCCTTAAGTGAATTAACATCTCTAACCAGCTGTAGTCAAGTAATGTCTATGCTATACATCACTTATAGAGTTTTTAGCTAGGCTCTTGTGTTGTCACTCCCTGCTATTTTTGAGCCATGTGCAGTTAATGCTTTATTTTACCATGATGTTTTAGGATAACGAGCCTTATTAAAATATTCTCCCTGGGTGTAATTGTAGGTTTATCAATATTACTGTCTCCTGCTAGGCTGCACAGTGATGTTTTCATAGTGCACTTGACTAAATCTACAGATGGATGATCAAGTTAGACTGAAAAGCATTTTTCAGGTTTACATTACAGCCCATGTTGAGCTGAAATGTGCAAACATTTTTGGGAATGTTTATGGAATCAAAGTTGTATGTTCTTTAAGCTCATCTCTTTTTATAAAAGCAGGTGTATTTTATGACAAGATCAGCAATATGGGCCATATGTCTTCATAAAAAAAAACTTTTCCAACTGTAATTTGTGGTACATTACACTTACGGGAGAATACACAAGGCACACAGTGGATGGTGGTATGTTACAGTGTGCAGCATTAGAGGGCTTATGGCTAGCAGCAGGGTTTTGGGTTCTGTATATGTAATTTATTTGCATTATAGATTTCTGGGTGTTAACCCTTAAACTTTCCTAACGTAGATCTACATTCACTCACGTAATGCTGCGAACTTAGATCTACATTTCTTTTTACATAAGAAAGCATGTAAAATCGAAAGTAGATCTATGTTCGGAGCGCTACGTGAGTAGACGTAGATCTACATTTGGACAGTTTAAGGGTTTACTATTATATGTTTGGAATGAAAAAAAACACACCACACTTCAGTTCCTCTGCCAATATTTTAATGCTTTAAGAGATGTTAGTACTTAAAGTAATAAGAAATCAGAATTAATTTTTGCATTGCACAGGTGAAAATAATGTTTCCAATAAAGTAACTTTATAAAATTACACTTAATGATTGGGATGCTAACTTTAATTACCAAGTAACTATTTTAGCACTGAGAAGAATGTTGATTATTTTTGCTAAAATTAATGAATTTTTAATTTAACAAAAATAGTGGCTAAAAAAAAAAAAACTTTTAATATCCTTTACCTGAGTACACTAGCCTTCAGACAAGTTTTTTAATTCATTAAAAGCATTAGACCCATATGGGTCATTCAGTGTTGAGGAGTAGTGGAGGCTTGATAATCCATCTTTGGAGTGCCAGACAGATGAGTTACCATTCAATGTAAACTTAACCCAGATTATTTTACTTATTCTTAATAGGATGAACTCACACCTACTGTCTTTATTGCTAATATGAGTACAATACAAATTAGGGCTTCACATGCTTGTTGATATTATGCCTTTTTTTGACTCATGAACACTTGTTTAATCCATTATTGAAAAGGGCTAAGCATTTCTTCCAATCTCTGTGGCATTTGTACTAACATTCTTCTAACTTGGGAGGCTACTAACCTCATCAGAAACTAATGTTCAGGATATTACTTTGTAGCTTTCTGAAGTTGTAAAATAGTGGTGCTGTAATTAATATAAATACTTATTTCCTACAAAATAGCCATGTGGCAACTTCGTTTGTACATTGTTATCAGACCAAGGCTGAAGAGAAAACAAGCAAGCACAATCCTTCCCAGCATGACAGTTTAACATTCGCCATTCTTACCTTAGTCTATAAAGTTACTGATTTAAATATATGGACATGCTTAACGTTCTGAGTAACAAATGCAGATTCTACCACTTGGTTTGCTAGCCATGATCTGGCAGTGTCCCACAAACTTTCACACAGTTATCCAGTGTTATGCCTAAGTTTGAGGACAAATTGTTTTCCATCAAATTGTAGTTGAGCTCTTGGCAATGTTCCCATCACTGTCAGACATGTGAAATAATGCTCATATGTTTGTGTATCAATACCACATAACTAGCACATGGATATCATGTGGAAAGATGTTGGCACCTCTCTCCGAGGACTACCAGATAACAATTTAATAGGGTGTTCTGTCTAAGAACACAAAATTTACTTCCAACATCAGAGTCCTGACACACACTCATTGCCCTTCTCGTCAAGAGCCCTACCCCTGACACGAACTTCATCAGTGACTTTAACAGAAACTAATCTATTGCACCAACTAGAATGTTGATTTTACACACTGATTAACCCTCAACTTTGCTAACTTCTTGCCTTGCAATTTAAATCACTTCTTCATTGTATGACCCAAATAGGTCTGGCACGTGTTTTTAATACAACCATAATTATTTTAATGCCTATGGGTAGCAGATTGGCAAGTGATATATTACATACATACATATATATATATATACATACATACAACATATACATACATGCTATATATACATACATACATACTGTATACACATACATATACCATATATACATACTGTATACACATACATACCATATATACATATTCATGCATACATATATATATATAATAATGCCAATATATGGCCTATTTGATCTTTATAATCCCTGACAAGATATTACTGTCTAAATTATAGCACTTTGCTTAAGGTATTACATATCAAAGTATGATAATATTCTTGTGTTGGCTGTTTGTGGTAGCATTATAGTGAATTATAACTATACCTGCTGCTTGTACACCAATACTTTGATTATCTGGCTCTGTCATTTAAAACTTTAACAAAGGTTATATGACATCTATGCTTATTTTGTGACATGTTCAACAAAATTTTGTGAAGTAGTCTACAGTAAATACCAAACCCTGCTGTACAGGTTAATTGAGGAATTGGTGTAGATATCCATCTGCTGCTGTACAGTTCTGTGGTTGGCTTTACATTAATTGTCTTTAATAAGAAGTATATATCAAGTTTTTTTTAAATAGTCATTGACAACAATTGTACATTTACAATAAATTGGATACACAACTTTCAGTACATTTTTTGTGATCTTCAAAATATGGCCTTGGATACAAGTTTCTGAAAGGTGCCTGTTCAAAAATCGATGCGAGGGTGGCTGTGCATGTATAAGTGTAAGATTTGATTCATGCATAAATCAACACATATTGACATTGCATAAATATGTATATATTTATAATACTAGTAAATCACAGTTTGTTTATACACTCTTTTTGTCATTTAATTAGGGTCATAGCAGTTTATAATAGAAGCTCTTAGTATTTACAGTGGCACCCTGTCTACATCTATAGGGATAAAGAAATCTTCATGTAGCCTGGGACAACATAGGAGGAACCAAAATGTCATCAATGTCTTGGATCTTTTGACTTGTAGGATAAATGAATACCAGTAGTATTCATTACATACACTTGGATAAAATTCATCATTTCTGTTACATATTTTCATCAGTAATCAGGTTAGTTATACAAGTGCTATGTATATTAAAAAAAATTATAAATTAAAATTTAATTTGACTACTGTGGTGGATTATCTGTTACAAGTTATAGGAGTACTGTATATATTTTCCTGAACATTTTGAAATAGTTATGAAAAATCCTGGGAAGACTAAACTTTTCTCATAACAGTAAACCAATATTTGGTAATGGAGGACAAATATTATTACTGCAGTTGAAAAGGGATCAATATCATTTCAGCTCATTTTATTCTGATGGCAGGTAAAGGGGTGATTTTAGATGTAAATAGTAATTCAGATTGATTTCACTCACCTTGAAATAGTATATTCATATTCAACATTGTAAAAATAATTTCACATTAATATCATTGTACATAAATGCATTTGAACTATTTACAGATGTGAAAAGTATACTGTACACAGTGTTTATGTGACCAGTATATAGTAAGGAAAACCTATTTATTAGAATTGTTAAGGAAACATGGACAAAAATCAGGAAGTACATGTATGTAAATCCATTCATTGATCCATTGCTGTGATAGAACAAACTGGAAATGAAAGCCAGCTTTTGTAGGTCACAGAAAAATAGTTCTTTTGCAAAGTGTAAATTATGGTAAATGTTTCAAATTACAAGTGACCATAAACTATGCCAGTGTTTTTTGTGAATTTCCTATTTGAGATTGATTTTACCAGAAAAAGTTGCATATGCTTGAATTACATGATCCTGATTAAGTGGTAAGGCAAGTGCAGTAATTCTGGGTATGTTAAAAGTATCTATTGTTGAATTAACATCTGAATGTTCTTCCTTAGTTATGCATTACTGTTTAAGTAGTGCATCAATGACCAAATGGCATTACTTAGGTTTTGAGACATTAAATTACACCAAGAAGGCTGCAAGATTTTGTAAGCTTTTAATTAAATAATTATTCTGATTATTTGATTACATGATAATATTTGCATTAGCTTTGATTGTATCCTACATGAAAGTATTGCAAAATACTCCTTCAAATTTAAGATAGTACCAAGTCTGAAAATAAACTTGCAAAAGTATATATCATTAGCAAATTCTAAATTGCTCTTCTCTCTCATTTTCTGTGAAGTACCATCTGGGTCATTAAAGTGGGATGCTGTCCTATCACTTTGGGTATAGTTGTGAGAGTATAGGTCTGTAATTTTTACTAAACTTTATCCTTTTACTGAAGTCACACAAATAACTTTGCTATCCAAAGTTTTGGAATTGCCTTACTTTTAGCCCTATGACCTCTTTAAAACAACAAAGAAGCACAAAGGTAGTTCAACTGTAATGAGAATAGTTATACCTTTCACCATGCCTGTTGCTGTGTATTCTCGCATTGGTGACCCAAAAGAAATCTCAGGATATCAGTCAGGGATTCTGCTTATTGGGTTACTTATAATGCATGGAAAGCAGGTGCCTTCCTGTCGCACTTAAAGAAGCTATAGCAACTTGGAAAGACCACAGATATTATAGTGAATTAAGTAGCTGGGGTAGGCTAAGTAAAGAGAAGTAATGCGCTGCATGACCCTTACTGGTTTAGCGCTTCCCCTATGAATGTAATAATAAAGGGTAGGGAACAAGAATCAAATATGCAGAAGCAATATAGCATTTGTCAAAGTATTAAGCTCTTGTGTGGCTGCAGCCAAGAGAAAGGACTAATGCTTAACCCTTGGAGTGTATTATTAAACTAAAATTTAAAAAATTAAATTATTTTGGTCCACATTGGTCAAAAAAACATTCCCCTTTTATAGTAAATTTGTCTTTTCTCCCAAGTTCTAGACAATGTTAAATGACATTTTTAGATGTTTTTAAGTTAAAGCCAAATGACCTTGAAATTTTATGATGCACTTAAAGGGTTAAAGTAAGATCTGAAGTTATTTCCTCTGGACAGTTATATGCATCTTACATAATAGTGCTTTGCAGGCAAGATAGTAATGTCAGTGTCAAGTAATGAGTTGGGCTGACAAGACTGAAGAATTTATTAACTGGTTGATCAAAACATTTTGTCATGCTTAAGCAGTTATTTTCTAATGTAACTAAGATTACTTAGTTTGAAAAATGTTTCCCAGAAATAGTTATTCACCAATATTACTTTCTTGTTGGAACATACAGAGATTATTCAGTTTGGTGTTGCTTCTTAACGTTGATATAAGCCAGCAGTGTTTGCAGTGATCGCTGTGTATGTGATGGCACCAGCATTTTTAAGCTTCAATAAGGCTCTTCCTCAATGAAGTATTTATTTCCATTGTCAGACTAGAAAATGAGCCATATTGACGAATTTTTAAAGTAAAATCTCATGATTGCTGATCTCGCGTATCTTAAAATATTTTTTAAAAGTTGCTGCAGAGGCAAGTTGCTCCATGCCTAAAACAGTACTTGTGTTATACTGTATCATAGGTTTATTGATGGAATAATAAAAAATGTTTTTGGCAAATTGTGTTTATTTTTGTTGTACATGCAAAAATGTATAAACTTCTACTTTACTGTTTTGTACTGTATGTTGCTATGACTTTAGTACAGTGATGTAATTTTTATGCATAAAAATTTGACATCAGTTGAAATACGGAATTAAAAGCAAAAACATTAATGGTAAGTGCTCTATTTTCTTGGATAGTATATGAACATTAAAGTTGAAAGATTTGGCAGTATTTGTGTTTAGCTGTGAGGGTGGGAGACCTGGTAGCATGCTACTGTGTGTGTGTGTGTGTGTGTGTGGTTATGCCAGGAGCTGAGTCTCGACCCCTGCAACAACAATTAGGTGAGTACACACAAACACACACCAAAACACACACACACACCAAAGCACACACACACACACACACACTATGCTACCAGGTCTCCCACCCTCACAGGCCCCCCCAAACCACAGTGTTGGAGAGGAAACTGAAGGTATGGTACACAAATGCTGATGGAATAACAAATAAGTGGGAGGAGTGGCACGGAAGAGTCAGAGGCATCACCGGACATCATAGCTCCCACAGAAACCAAGCTAACAGGTATGATAACAGATGCCATCTTTCCAACGGGATACCAGATCCTGAGGAAAGACAGAGGGAATGGGGGGGTGGAGGAGTGGCATTGCTGATCAAAAACCGATGGAATTTTGATGAGCTGGAGAGAGGAGACAGTGGAGAAGCAAGCAATTACATAGTGGGAACGCTTCACTCTGGAGCTCCTAAAGTGGTAATTGCAGTGATGTATAACCCACCACAGAACAGCAGGAGGCCAAGGCAGGAGTATGACGAGAGCAATAGAGCGATGATCGACACTCTGGCTGCAATGGCCAGGATAGCTCATGCATGCAGGGCAAAGCTCCTGATCATGGGTGACTTTAACCACAAGGAAATCGATTGGGAGAACTTGGAGCCACATGGGGGCCAAGATACATGGAGGGCTAAGATGATGGAGGTGGTACTGGAAAATTTCATGTACCAACACGTAAGGGACACTACAAGAGAGAGAGGAGAGGATGAACCAGCAAGACTGGACCTAGTATTCACTTTGAGTAGTGCAGATATTGAGGACATCACATATGAAAGACAACCTGGGGCCAGCGATCATGTGGTTTTAAGTTTCGAATGCACAGTAGAGCTACAAGTGGAGGGGGAAGCAGGAAGGCCAGGGCAATGAAGCCAAACTACAGGAAAGGGGACTACACGGGAATGAGGAACTTCCTGAACGGGGCTCAATGGGACAGAACTGGCAGGGAAGCCAGTTAATGAGATGATGGAATATGTAACAACAATGTGCAAGGAGGCTGAGGAGAGGTTTGTACCCAAGGGTAACAGGAATAATTAGAGCCAGGATGAGCCCATGGTTCACCCAAAGGTGCAGGGAGGCAAAAACCAAGTTTACCAGGGAATGGAAGAAGTATAGAAGGCAAAGGACCCAGGAGAATAAGGAGAGCAGTCGTAGAGCCAGAAACGAATATGCACAGATAAGAAGGGAGGCCCAACGACAACATGAAAACGACAGCAGCGAAAGCCAAATCTGACCCAAAGCTGTTATACAGCCACATCAGGAGGAAAACAGCAGTCAAGGACCAGGTAATCAGGCTAAGGAAGGAATGAGAGAAAATAAGAAATGACCATGAAGTATGCGAGGAACTCGAGAGATTCAAAGAAGTGTTCACAGAGGAGACAGAAGGGGCTCCAGAAAGACGGAGAGGTGGGGTACACCACCAAGTGCCTGGACACAGTACACACAACTGAGGAAGAAGTGAAGAGGCTTCTGAGTGAGCTAGATACCTCAAAGGCAATGGGGCCGATAACATCTCTCCATGGGTCCTGAGAGAGGGAGCAGAGGCGTTTTGTGTACCCCTAACAACAATATTCAATACATCTATTGAAACAGGGAGATTGCCTGAGGCATGGAAGACAGCAAATGTAGTCCCAATCTTTAAAACAGGAGACAGACATGAAGCACTAAACTACAGACCAGTGTCACTGACGTGTATAGTATGCAAAGTCATGGAGAAGATTATCAGAAGAGTGGTGGAACAACTAGAAAGGAATGATCTCATCAACAGCAGCCAACATGGTGTCAGGGACGGGAAATCCTGTGTCACAAACCTACTGGAGTAATATGACATGGTGACAGCAGTAAGACAAGAGAGAGGGGTGGGTGGATTGCATTTTCTTGGACTGCAAGATGGCATTTGACACAGTTCCACACGAGATTAGTGCAAAAATTGGAGGACCAAGCAGGGATAACAGGGAAGGCACTACAATGGATCAGGGAATACTTGTCAGGAAGACAGCAGTGAGTCATGGTACGTGGCGAGGTGTCAGACTGGGCGCCTGTGACCAGCGGGGTCCCACAGGGGTCAGTCCTAGGACCAGTGCTGTTTCTGGTATTTGTGAACGACATGACGGAAGGAATAGACTCTGAGGTGTCCCTGTTTGCAGATGACGTGAAGTTATGAGAAGAATTCATTTGATCGAAGACCAGGCAGAACTACAAAGGTATCTGGACAGGCTGCAGACCTGGTCCAGCAATTGGCTCCTGGAGTTCAATCCCACCAAGTGCAAAGTCATGAAGATTGGGGAAGGGCAAAGAAGACCGCAGACGGAATACAGTCTAGGGGGCCAGAGACTACAAACCTCACTCAAGGAAAAAAATCTTGGGGTGAGTATAACACCAGGCACATCTCCTGAAGCGCACATCAACCAAATAACTGCTGCAGCATATGGGCGCCTGGCAAACCTCAGAACAGCATTCCGACATCTTAATAAGGAGTCGTTCAGGACCCTGTACACCGTGTACGTTAGGCCCATATTGGAGTATGCGGCACCAGTTTGGAACCCACACCTAGCCAAGCATGTAAAGAAACTAGAGAAAGTGCTAAGGTTTGCCACAAGACTAGTCCCAGAGCTAAGAGGTATGTCCTACGAGGAGAGGTTAAGGGAAATCAACCTGACAACACTGGAGGACAGGAGAGATAGGGGGGACATGATAACAACTTACAAAATACTGAGAGGAGTTTACAAGGTGGACAAAGACAGAATGTTCCAGAGACTGGACACAGCAACAAGGGGACACAGTTGGAAGCTGAAGACACAGATGAATCACAGGGATGTAAGGAAGTATTTCTTCAGCCACAGAGTAGTCAGAAGTGGAATAGCTTGGGAAGAGATGTAGTGGAGGCAGGATCCATACATAGCTTTAAGCAGAGGTACGATAAAGCTCATGGTTCAGGGAGAGTGACTTAGTGGCGACCAGTGAAGAGGCGGGGCCAGGAGCTTGGACTCGACCCCTGCAACCTCAACTAGGTGAGTACATACATACACATATACATACACACACACACACACACACACACACACACACACACAACACACACACACACACACAAAAGGCAATGGGACCGGACAACATCTCCCCGTGGGTTCTTAGAGAGGGAGCGGATATGTTGTGTGTGCCACTTACCACAATCTTAACACGTCCCCGGAAACTGGGCAACTACCTGAGGTATGGAAGACGGCAAATGTAGTTCCCATTTTTAAAAAAGGAGACAGAAAAGAGGCACTAAACTATAGACCTGTGTCACTGACGTGTATAGTATGCAAAGTTATGGAGAAGATTATCATGAGGAAAGTGGTGGAGCACCTGGAACGGAACAAGAGTATAAATGCCAACCAGCATGGATTCATGGAAGGAAAATCGTGTGTCACAAACCTTCTGGAGTTTTATGATAAAGTAACAGAAGTAAGACACGAGAGAGAGGGGTGGGTTGATTGCATCTTCTTAGGCTGCAAGCCCCTCAAGGAAGGTTCCTTGATGTTGGTGAGGGGCTCTTGATTTAGGGAATTGGATCTGTGCTCCAGTTCCCCGAATTAAGCCTGAATGCCTTCCACATCCCCCCCCAGGCGCTGTATAATCCTCCGGGTTTAGCGCTTCCCCCCTTGATTATAATAATAATTAGGCTGCAAGAAGGCCTTTGACACAGTTCCTCACAAGAGATTAGTGCAGAAGCTAGAGGATCAGTCTCATATAACAGGAAGGGCACTGCAATGGATCAGAGAATACCTGACAGGGAGGCAACAACGAGTCATGGTACGTAATGATGTATCACAGTGGGCACCTGTGACGAGCGAGGTCCCACAGGGGTCGGTCCTAGGACCAGTGCTATTTTTGGTATAAGTGAATGACATAATGGAAGGGTTAGACTCAGAAGTGTCCCTGTTCACAGACGATGTGAAGTTAATGAGAATTAAATCAGATGAGGACCGGGCAGGACTTCAAAATTGACCTGGATAGACTGGACACCTGGTCCAGCAACTGGCTTCTCGAATTTAATCCCGCCAAATGCAAAGTCATGAAGATAGGGGAAGGGCACAGAAGACCGCAGACAGAGTATAGGCTAGGTGGCCAAAGACTGCAAACCTCGCTCAAGGAGAAAGATCTTGGAGTGAGTATAACACTGAGCATGTCTCCGGAAGCACACATCAACCAGGTAACCGCTGCAGCATATGGGCGCCTGGCAAACCTGAGAACAGCGTTCCGATACCTTAATAAGGAATCGTTCAAGACACTGTACACCGTGTACGTCAGGCCCATACTGGAGTATGCAGTACCTGTTTGGAGCCCGCACTTGATAAAGCACGTCAAGAAACGAGAAACTGCAAAGGTTTGTGACAAGGTTAGTTCCAGAGCTAAGGGGAATGTCTTATGAAGAAGGTTAAGGGAAATCGGCTTTTACGATACTAAGGGGAAAGGGGGGTCAGGGGAGACAAGATAACGACATGTAAAAATACTGCGCAGAATAGACAATTTGACAAAGAACATATGATCCAGGAGGGACACAGAAACGAGGCCACAATTTGGAAGTTGAAGACACAGATGAGTCAGAGATATTAGGAATAATTTTCTTCGTCATAGAGTTTGTCCCGGGCAGTGTAATAGCCATAAAGTGATTATGTGAGGCAGGAACCA